CGAAGCTCACAAGGAATGTTTCAAGATCTAGTGTAATTTCTATTTCATAATTTCTGATTTCATGACCTCAGGAGATGCTGTTTGAGGGGAGGAACAGAGAAAAAGAAAGATAAATAGGGAAGTAGTAGGTTTCTGGGGTGGCTTAAATTTCTAAAGAGGATCGCTCGAGGCTTTTATAACGAATATGAACACCTCCATGGGGATAATGTGAGTCATCTTGGGAATGATTCGATGTTTTGAAAATGTGAATCGATGCTTGAAAGGGAAAATCAAATTCTCAAGAGTAGCTCCGAGCGCTCAGACTATAGTTCAAAATCTTAAAAGGTGATTTTAAACTGGGAAACGAATTCGGATCCCTAGTGTGGATAATCTCAAGGTGAGATACCGGTACGACTTTCTTAAAACGCGATTTGTCAAAAACTCTCCTGGATCACTCGAAACCATTCATAAGTTACTCGATGTTCTCACGGGAAGTTATGAAGCTCTTAAGAATAAAAGTTTGGATCGTTAAGTAGACCCACATGAGATGGTCAGCACATATTACAGACAATTTCATCTGAGTGAGTAAATTGTCAACTTGTCTGTGAAAACCCTTGGATGAAAATGAGACTGATGTTACCATACTGAAGCTCAAAAAATACACTTGACTCTTATAGCCTTGAGTACGATGATATAACACCTTAATGTCAATCCATTCATCATGCTCAGTTGGTTAAGTTATCGTACTTGAGGGATTGTTATCGTACTCTAAGGGTTAAATCATCGTACTCGAGGGGTTAACTTAAGAGTATAAATGATATGAAATGTAACAAAACCAACAAGAAGTTATAAATAATGAAGGAGAAGAATTATAATTATCTTAAATTTAAAGCGACGTAGGAAGGAAATAACACTAATATAAAAAAAAAAATTGAAACTAATAATAAAGGAAAGAATGACCCCAAAAAATGCAAAAAATCAAATGTACAAAAATCACATCCAGCACAGCATCAACAAAGAGACATCGAACAGGAATCAATCAACATCTCAGCCTCTTACCCCTCCCACCTAAGACATTAACTCGGCCATGGAACTCTGACAACAGACCCTACCTCACCCTTCCCCTTCCCTCCCCTCCTCTCCGGACTGAGAATAATAGAAAGCGAAATTAAGACATCCACAAAACATTCCGAAACCAGAGGAATTAAATATAGCTACTCGTCCTTGTCTTGATGAAATATGTCTTTCGTAAGGTAGTCCAAAGCGAGCCTGTGTTAGTTACGACACAAACATGATATTTTTCCTTAATCAAGACACAACGATTTATGCTATGATGAGATTCGTGAATATTTGTCTTCTTATGATATGTGTGTGTGTGTGTGTGTGTGTGTGTGTGTGTGTGTGTGTGTGTGTGTGTGTTTTATTAATAATTTAGACTAATACTGTGTGTAAATACTCGTCATGGGTTGTATCAAATTAGGTTAAGTTACGTTACACTAGCTTATGTTAGATTAGAATGGACTAGGTTAGGTTAGATTAGGTTAGATTAGGTTAAGTTAGGTTAGGTTAGGTTAGGTTAGTATGGGGTCCGTAATCTTCATCCCATTCTTTATTTACACCTCAGACTATAGTACTACTTGGAAACTCTTTGCTACTGACAAATTTTCCTACATCAAAACCCTCAAGTAAACCATAGACTAAACCCTCAATAAACCCTAGACTAAACCCACAATAAACCCTAGACTAAACCCTCAATAAACCCTAGACTAAACCCACAATAAACCCTAGACTAAACCCTCAATAAACCCTAGACTAAACCCACAATAAACCCTAGACTAAACCCTCAATAAACCCTAGACTAAGCCCTCAATAAACCCGAGACTAAACTCCCCACAAACCCTCAAACTAAACATCACGTGACTTATTACAAGCCAGGTGTTACATGGACGTGAGTTATGAATGATAAAATACACGTGTAAGAAATATCCCTAAAAAAAGCATTGGCAACCCGCACGTAAACATCATTAATGCCACCTCAACATCAGGTCCGAAAAAAAATGCTCCCTGCTCCATGCTCCACCCCCCCCGAAAAAGTCGGTAAATAAGTTAATTTTCTATGCCATCGACGTCTGTACCTCACGTGTTGGGAAGGTAGTGGATAAACGTCTTCAAGTGGACCAGATTCTCTTTTTGTGTCCCGGAAGTTTATACAAAGAAGGAGAAGGAAAGTTTATGGGGAAAAAGAAAAAGTTTTACGAGGAACTTTGTGGGGATAAGGGATTAGTAAAGGAGGAAAAGTAATTAATTTTAGAAAAGAGGTAAAAATTTAAAAACAAAATTGGGAATAATTAAATCAGTAGAGAAAAAGAAAATATGTATAAAAATTAGTTATATCGATTAATTAAAATAAGGTGAAAATAATGCGATAAAAATAATTATTACCAAAAAAAAGTTTATTTCATTATATAAGAAACAAGAGGAAAAAAAAACATGAATTGGATCAAAACAGAACAAATCTTTCGATGTTATTGAAAAAAAGTATTTATTAATTTATTTTTGTGGCTTTTCTTTTTTAGAATAATTCATGACTGAGGAAGATATTAAACAAGTGTTAATGTCATATGTATTCATTAAACATCGTCTCTTCACCAAACATCGTCCAGTTTTTAAGGTAGATGTTTGGAAATGCTGGTTACAATAAACTGTGTATCAATCCTGCTGTCGAACTTAGACTGGGACCTACTAGAACTGTGACGAAACAGAACTGGGGCCTATTTAGACTGAGACCTCAATCCCGAAGACTATCATAGATTAGAACGTGGACTCCTCTTAGGAAATGTAACTCACAAGGTCTGAGATATTTAAAAAAAATTACGTACACTAACCCTGCATTTTTTTTAATCTCCTTCGCGGCGTTGAGACACAAGATCTTTATAGTGCAATATCGATAAACGTCTCTGTAACTTCTCGTTTACTCTTAGTGTCAACACGTAAACACAGCGGGGTGGAAGACGCACCTGCCTGTAAAATGATGTGTTTACAAACCTGTCAATTCTAGCCGGGTTCAAGTAGGCTCAGGGGAGGGAGGATTGGCAAGGCTGGCTGTACAATATTTATTGATATTATTGTTTCAAAGTGTATTTTCGTCTCTGAATGTATAGATATTTTTAGACGTTACTTAAGTATGGAAGGTAATGTGTTTGATAGGTATATAATTATGTAATGTTGTATTGTCTTATAAATGATGGTGTGTGGGTGTGTGTACTAAACTTGGTGCCCCATTTTCTGATACAAGGGGAGACTCTACAATACTACTGATCCCGACGTTCATTTATAACATCGTTGAAATAATTCCCTTGATACTCGGTTAATGAAGTACAGGTAAAACAATCCCCATATGGTGATAGTAACGCTCAGGTTCTGTACAGTAATTTTCCCACGGTGAAGTACCAAATGTCTCCCCCCCACATACAGACACACACACACACACACACACACACACACACACACACACACACACACACACACACACACACACACACACACACACACCAATCCGGACTTTTTTCCTGACCTAAGAAAGACAATCTCAAAATTTATGACCGATTTTAGTACCACCGTTTTTTGGTGTTTTTTTTTAAGAGGGGAAGGGATGGTGGCATAGGGGGTGGGAGGGAGTGGGAGGGGGATTGAGAGGGATGGGGGAGGTAAGAGGGAAGAGAGGTGAGAGAATTAGGGTGGGAGGTGCGAGGGATGGAAGAGGAGGTGAGAGGGACGGGAGGTGAAAGAGGAAGGAGTGGGAGATAAGGTGAGTGGGATGAGAAGGGAGGTGAGAGGGGTAGAACAAGAAGAGAGAGGTGAGTGGGATGAGAAGGGAGGTGAGAGGTACGGAAGGGGAGGTGAGAGGGAAGGAAGAGGAGGTGAGAGGGAAGGGACGTGAGAGGGATTGGAGGGGGAATGAGTGGGGTATTACCGTTTTGAGGGGGTACGTAATTTTTTAATACAGTATATATAAATATTTTTAGTGTTGACGCCTGGTGTGTGTTATCTATCTATCTATCTATCTATCTATCTATCTATTTTTTTCCTCAATGTCTGTCTGTCTGTCTGTCAAAACTATTTATCTATTATTTATTAATTTATTTACCCGTTTTCTGTTTTTTTTCTGTTTTATCTTAAGGTTAAAATATAGTAGTAGTAGTAGTAGTAGTAGTAGTAGTAGTAGTAGTAGTAGGAACTTTATTGTTATCTCTCTCTCTCTCTCTCTCTCGTCTTCTTTTCTGAATCGTTATCACAATCAATGAGATAGATAGACAGACAGACAGACAGACAGACAGACAGACAGACAGACAGACAGACAGACAGACAGACAGACAGATAGACAGACAGACAGACAGAGAGCTTTTTCAATTTTCCTTTATCTATGTACGTCATTTCATCTCACACCTCAAGTACCCCCATATCTCACCTCCATAATTCTCTCTCTCTCTCTGTCTCTCATTTTTCTCTCATTTCACACTCCGCCTAAATCATCACCCACTCTAGCCACTTATCCTTCCCCTCTTCTCCTTTCTATTATTCATATCTTTATTGCATCCCCCTCCCACTTACCTCCATCCTCTTCAACTTTATTTTTTTTGTTATTATTCTTCGTTTTGTTTATTTCTGTTTCTTCAATTTTTTTTCTCCTTCTTTTACTAAATTTCTCTCATTCACTCGTTGTTTTTGTCCTCTCTCTCATTCCTCTTCTGTTTCCTCATATTTCCATTTTCTCCTTATCCCTTTTACTTTTTTTCTCATTCCTCTCCCCCTTTCCTCCCTAAATACTCCTCTTCTCCCCTTCTCCCCTAGGTAACTCTTTTCCTCCCCCTTCCTCCCCCCTCCCCTTCCTCCCTAGGTACTCTTTCTTCCTCCCCTTCCTCCCCTAGATACTCCCTTTTCCTCCCCTTCCTCCCCTAGATACTCCCTTTTCCTCCCCTTCCTCCCCTAGGTACTCCCCTTTCTTCCCCCCTGGTACTTACCGAGGAAGCCAGCGATGGCCCCAAAAGGCATGACCACGAGAGAGACGAGCAGGTCAGCCACGGCCAGTGACATGAGGAAGTAATTGGTGACGTTGTGCAGTCGACGCTCCAGGCAGATCTGGAGAAGGGAAAAAAGTAGTTAGTTGTGGGAAAAAAGTAGTTAGTTGTGGGAAAAAAAGTAGTTAGTTGTGGGAAAAAAGTAGTTAGTGGTGGGAAAAAAGTAGTTAGTGGTGGGAAAAAAGTGGTTAGTGGTAGGGGAAAAGTGGTTATAGGCGAGGAAAAAATATTTAGCAGCGGGAAAAAAAGTGGTTAGTGACAGGTAAAATTTTTTATTACAAGGAAAAAAGTTATTAATGCTGGGGTAAAAGATGGCCAGTGGTAGGGAAAAATGGTCAAATATGGCTGAGAAAAATGGACAGTGGTGGACGAAAGGTATTCTATGGCGGGGAAAACTTGCAGGGATAAAGTGGGTAGTAGAGGCAGAAAAATCGTGTGTGTGTGTGTGTGTGTGTGTGTGTGTGTGTGTGTGTGTGTATGTGTGTGTGTGTGTGTGTGTAGGGTAAAGATGGAGTGGCATAATCTGTGGTGGCGGGGGAATTCTTGCTCATGGTTAGGGATAAAAAAGAAGAGGGGGTGGGGGGGGTGGGAGGGGGTTGTGGAGGAGAAGAATTTTATTAGGATTTTTTGTTTTACGTTACTATCATACTGAGTATTTTACATAATTACTGTAAATATTATTTTGACTTACCATTATAACTAAGGTATTTACTCTTATCATTATCATTACTATTATTATTATTGAATCATAATTATTATTTATTACCATCGTCATTATCAATATTATCACTAAATTATTGTTATTATTATTATTATTATTATTATTTACGTGTACTAGCAATTTCAAGATATAATTGTAAGGTATTTCATATATATTCCAAAATCGTTTTACTCACTACTGCCACAACACAAATCTAAAAATAAACTTCCCAAAAACTGGACAAAGTGAATGAAAAATAACAGCAATAACTCAGCTGCGAGGAAGATAAATAACACGCAGGTATCTCAGTGACTCAGACACCTGTAATTAATTTATTTTTGGCGCGTGTGCAGGTGTGTGTGTGTGTGTGTGTGTGTGTGTGTGTGTGTGTGTGTGTGTAAATATTGACTTAAGAGGGAGTTTTATTTACTTTTTTTTTTAATTTTGCAAGATTACACATGATACTGTTTGGAGGGTGCATTTGGAGGGGATACTTGAAGGGACATTTGGAGGAGAAGGGGGATAATGAAGGGGGAGGGGTGAGGGGAGAGGAAGGGCGGGGAGTAGGTCACACATGTTTATACAACCAATCCCAACACCCAGCCACAAACAGCCTTCAAAACCCAACATATACGAGACCTTTACAGCCACGACACTCCGAGACCTACAGAAGCAGCGGAACCTTTATTTAGCGGACTACATGGAGGGGGAATCAGTTATATTAAGGTTCCATTAGATACGACCCCTCCATTTAACGGACAATAACCATTAGATCGGGGTCCGTTAAATAGAGGCTTAACTGCAACATTCACCTCAATAAGAAGGAACTCTTCATGTCAACTTTGCCCAAGAAGTTTTTACTCAAAGCAAACACAACAAGACTCAAGTTAGGAGTGTGTGATCGAGTATGAAATGCTGGAGGAGATTGCCTGTATTGTGACTTCCTCTCTCCTTGACGGCTGGCGGAGTGTCGTGAGGCGTTTGGGAGATATCGAAGCCGCCAATATCAGGGCAGGCAGTGTGTGTGTGTGTGTGTGTGTGTGTGTGTGTGTGTGTGTGTGTGTGTGTGTGTGTGTGTCTGGTCTTCTCGGACTATTCCTTGACACTGAGTCAGCCAACTCGTTAATTCAGGATGTGGTTGTTGTGTTTGCGACAGCTTATACACCTTAAACAAATTCACGCCTAGGTGGCCCTTGGGCCGGCCATACTCGATCTCGAGGAGCAACCATTATTTTTTTTTAAGGATTGGAAGGAGTTTGTTATTATTATTATTATTATTATTATTATTATTATTATTATTATTATTATTATTATTATTTCAATGTTTATTTTTTAACTAATATCAATATCATCATTATAAAAAATCAAACAAATTACCATAACTCCAAACCCTCAACACAGACAAACACACCGACAAACACACCGACAAACACACCGACAAACACACCGACAAACACACCGACAATGCCTTAAACGAGACCAAATTCCCTCCTTTACCTGTAAAAAAAGTCAAATATGTCATTGTTTCACGGAACGTCGTAAATCCGGACTTGAAGCCGAATTCTTAAACAAAAGTTGGTTCGACTGCTTGGTTAGGTTAGGTTATATTAGGGGCAGGTTAGGGGTAGGGTAGGGGTAGGGTAGGGTAAGTTAGGGGTAGGGTAGGTTAAGTTAAGGATAGGGTAGGTTAAGTTAGGGGTAGGGTAGGGTAAGTTAGGGGTAGGGTGAAAGGGGTTAGGGGTAGGTTGGGTTAGGTAGAGTAGGGTAAGTTAAGGGTAGGGGTAAGGGGTTAGGGGGTAGGGGTAGGTTAAGTTAAGGATAGGGTAGGTTGGGTTAGTAGGGTAGGGTGTTTAGGGTAGGGTAGGTTAATTTAGGGTAGGGCAGGGTTAAGTTAGGGTAGGGTAGGTTGGACTTAGGGGTAGGGTAGGTTAAGTTAGGGACAAGCAAGGTCAGGCCAGGTTCCAGGTCCGGGTACGTTCTTGGTTAAGGATAAGCTGGTGCCATTTTTCATCGTTGGATCCATAAGTCTTAATCTTTATGGTAAGAGGAGCCTTCCGTATCACCCTTCTTCCCTTCCTTCTCTCTCTTCCTTTACATATTTGCTTTCTTCCTCCATCTTCTTCCTCTCCTTCTCTCCTCTATCTTCTCCATCCTTTCCTCTTACCACTTCTTTCACCCCTTCTCTCTCTTCCTGTCTTTATTACCTTCCTCTCCATCCCTTCCTTCCCTACCATATACCTGTCTCATTTTTTACTCTCTCTCTACGTCTCTTTTCCCCTCCTTGTCTTTCCTTTCCTCCCTTCCCCTTTCTCCTTTACTATGCCTTTCCTTTCCTTCTAAAATATCCCCTCCCATATCCATTCAATGCTCACACACACACACACACACACACATGTCTCTCTCTCTCTCTCTCTCTCTCTCCCCAAGACGAATCAAGTTGATAGTATAAGATGAAGGACCACTCACATCCCCAAACACCAATCAAAAAGTAGATACGAAGTGATGAACTACCCAAAATAGGGACAGACAGGTGACAGCAATAATTATGGGTCAGACATATTGCCCTTCTAATGGTTCTGGACGTGGTCACCAAGATGGGGAGAACGAGGAGGGGGAGGGGTAGAGGGGAGGGGTAGAGGGGGTAGAGGGGGAGGGGTAGAGAGGGGAGGAGGAAGCAGGTATGAGAATAGTGAGGAAACAATATATGATAATCTACACCAATGTCTCCATGTATGTATGTATGTATGTATGTATGTATGTATGTATGTATGTATGTATGTATGTATACTGAAAATCCTTAAAGACAAGTTATAAACGATGAATATTTATAAACGATTAATATGTACTGGAAGCGACCCCAACCATACACGTCTAAGGTGAATTGGCAGCGACATGTTACGGTTGTGACGTCACGCAGTAATGGCAAGAGCGGCCCTAACCCTAGCATTCAGCCGGGACAAGGTTCATTCAGGATTTTGTTGATAATTTCTTAAGGTTTTCTGTGGACTGCATTTCTGTTGGTACAGTGTGTGTGTGTGTGTGTGTGTGTGTGTGTGTCACCCCACATAACACCAACACACCCCACATAACACCCACACACCCCACATAACACCCACACACCCCACATAACACTCAACACACCCCACATAACACCAACACACCCCACATAACACCAACGCACCCCACATAACACAACACACCCCTACATAACACCAACACACCTCTACTATAACACCAAACACCCACATAACACTCAACACACCCCACATAACACCTAACACACCCCACATAACACCAACACACCCCACATAACACCCACACACCCCACATAACACCCACACACCCCACATAACACCCATACACCCAACATAACACCCACACACCCCACATAACACCAACACACTCCACATAACACTCAACACACCCCACATAACACCAACACACCCCACATAACACCAACACACCCCACATAACACCAACACACCCCACATAACACAACACACCCCACATAACACCAACACACTCCACATAACACCAACACGCCCCACATAACACCAACACACCCACATAACACCAACACACTCCACATAACACCAACACACCACATAACACCCACACACCCCACATAACACTCAACACACCCCACATAACACCAACACACCCCACACAACACAACACACCACATAACACCCACGTACCCCACATAACACCCATTAATAATTCCACATAACACCCACGTACCCCTACATAACACCCACACACCCCACATAACACCCATTAATTTCACATAACACAACACACCCCCATATAACACCAACACACCTATTACAACACAACACACCCCACATAACACAACACACCCCACATTCATGTAACACACCCACACCTTACAGTAAGGTTGAGGCAGCAGCAACAGTCAAGGTTCCGTCACTTCCCCGCTCTCTTCCTCCCAAATCGTCTTCGTCTCTATCCCAAATAAAATTATTTTTTAAACCAATTATTTAAAGTTTGAAAAGTTGTCGTTACAAAACTGAAACAAGTCGTGGTAGCACATGCTTTCAAAGGGAAGCTCTCCATGCTGCACACAGGAGGAACGAGAACGACAAGATAAGGGCATATGGGGAAAGAATTCAGAACGTTGATCAAGGCAGCTTCACTCCTCTGGTGTTCACAACCTATGGCGTGATGGGACCAAGTGCAAGATGCTTCTACGCCAGACTCGCGGAGGTGTTATCCGAACGGGAGCAGCAGCCCAGAAGTTATGTTACAGCCTGGTTGAGATGTCGACTGTCCTTCTCTCTGCTTAGGTCGGCTTTGCTCTGCCTCAGGGGAACGAGAGCATCGGCCCAAAGCCGACAACA